GTTAGATGTGGTCGGCTTCCCCGCAGTGGTAGCAGAGCGGGCGTCGATCAGCCGTCCTCCACACGTCGGTCTTTCGCGGCGCAGCTTGTTCTGGGTGGACGTGCGCCCGATCTTCTTGTCGTCGGGAATACTCCGGCGCTGGAGGCTCACGTCGGGGTGGCGCCGTATACTGGTGAGCTGGGGGCGATGGTCGTCGGGTAACTGCGGCGTAACTCAGCGTGAGCGGTTCGGGAGTGGCGCCGACGAGAACTTCTGGCTGCAGCGCCTGATGAATTTCGTCCCGGACAATATCGGCGACTGAGGGCGTAGCCGGGCTTGTGGCAGCAGGTAGCAGCTTCCTGATTTCCTCCCGCACGACGTCCCGGATGATGTCGCGGATGTCCGGGATGCTGCAGCTGGACGTCGAGAGGGCAGCGAAGCCGGGAAGTCTCTGGTAGTGCGAGGCCCGTGCGTGAAGGGCACGTTCGATGTTGGTGGCCTCAGTGATGAAACCTTGTACAGTGGTAGGCGGGCTCCGCACGAGGCCCCCGAAGATGTTTTCTTTCACGCCCCGCATTAGGATCTTCAGCTTCTTTTCTTCTGGGGCGTCAGGATCCGCGCGGCTGCTCAGTCGAAGAACATCTTTGACAAAGCTAACGACGCTCTCATTAGGGCCCTGAACCCTCGCTTGAAGGAGGTCTTCGGCGCGTTCTCTTCGGTGTTGGTTGGTAAATGTTCTTCCCAACTCAGCCTTGCATTGCTCCCAGGTGGTGATTGATGCTTCATGGTTCTCGAACCAGTTCCGCGCGATTGCTTCCAAGGCAAAGTAAACATTCTGGAGGCACTGTTCCGGTGTCCACCCATTATGGCGAGCCACTCGTTCGTACTGTTGCACCCAGTCGTCGATGTCTTCGTGGCTTTCGCCGTGGAAGGGAGCCGGTGTCCGAGGAGCGACGGGTAGGTAGACGACGGCAGGAGCGACGGGGCTCTGCGACTGGTTGGCCATCGGCGTCTTCTTCGGCTTGGGCTTGTCCAGCAGCAAACCGTACTCCGGATCTTCTCCCTTGGTGCGGCGGCTGGTCCGAGTTTCAGGTTCCGCGCTGAGTGGTGTTCTCACCGAGCCGGGAATCGGACTTGCACTGCGGGCCCTGGGAGGGGAACGCTGCACGGGCATGCGGTACCCCGCACCTCCACCAAAATGTCACGAGTGGTGACCAATAAACAAGAAATAAACAGGAATAAATAAACGTTTAATGTGGCGAACTTGTGCCAAAAATAAAAGGGTATAAAAGGTAATAACAGAGCGTCGCGGGCGTCGAAGTCGGCGTAGCAGCAGAGTCGAACGCTGAGGCGAAACTGGCTCCGGCTTGCCCGCGGAGCCGCTTTTGTACACACGTTGGCTTCTGGAGCATTCGACGTAGAAGGTTCGACGCGTAGAACATTCTGACCTCGAATCAGCTAGACGGTTCTCGATTTCACCAGAACATCACATTACAGTGTCAACAAAAATGCGTGGCCGCGGCCAGGGATCGAACCCTGGCCCTTCGCGTGGGAGGCAAGCGCGATAACCGTTAGGCTACGGCCGCGCTGCCTACTTGGCGCGCGGCATTATGCATAAATAATTTCAGATTAAAATAAGCTCGACCACGCCCTCTTTCCCCGTATTGTTTTCTTTAACAGTCGGAACTATCTGAAAAGGGGGGGGGGGGCTGGACCCCCTCCCCCATGCTTTTCCTCTACCGACGCCACTGGTATGGTAGAACGTTCCTCGACCTCGAGTTGTGCAGGCTTCTGTGCTTTTTGCTCGGCGTTTCCTCCGTCCCGGTAAATAAAACTCCAGAAGGATTACAAACTTAACTTACTGTATGCCAGCGTTACTCGGGCTGCGTTCGATCGGATTACTACCAGCGTGTAAGGGGTGGCGAGGTAGTTTGCCAGGTCGCTTCAAGGTTTTTCTGAGCCTCAACCTCCTGCTCGCCCCTGGCCGTTTCGAACTGGATGAGTCTCGTAAAACAGTGTGTTCGTGTGATCAATACTGCATGATGCAAATTAAATACCCCCCCCCCCCCCCCACCGGGCTGGCGGTCACAATTACTGATCTATGGTCACACGTCACTCTGCACTGGCAAATATTCCAGCACATCCGGGACACTCTTCGTCTCATTTAATTGCCCGAACAACTTCGCAGAATCTAGATATCACACCCTAACTTTTCTAAACTTGATTTTGTGAAAACCAGTGAGTCGTGAAAACGTTATTTGAAACAAACTGTGGAGGAACTTGAAAACCGGACTTCGAACTTTGAAAACTTGGACTAGAAAGGAATTCAAAATCTTCGAAGTTTCTTTTTCGAATTCAGCGTTAAAAAAATCGAAACCTTCGAACTTTTCGAACTTTATGCAGAAAGAAATTTCGAAATCTTCGAATTGTTCGAACTTCATGTCTATAAAAATTCGAAGCGTTCGAAGTTTTCGAATTTTATTTCCAAAGAATTTCGAAATCTTCGATTTATCGAACCTGAAGTAAAAAAATATTCGAAATATTCGAATTCGAAATTTTAGAAACCATGAAAGCTTCGAACTTCTCGAATTCGAAACTCCACTGTGATTGAAAGTTGCGAATTTTTCGAATTCGAACCTCGGTCGGTACGAAAATATCAAATTTTTCCGAAATCGAACCTCAGTTCGCTTCACAAATCTCGAAACCTTTCGAAATCGAACCTGGGGTGGTTCGCGACATCCCTAGAGGAAATGCAGGGCCTCTTGTCCCGAAAACAGGGTCAGCTATCTACGCCGGGAGGGTACACTTCCACGAAAGGACCGTGGCATCCTCTTCTGAGTCAGCAGGACGCCCCTAGCCGGGCTTGGCCTGTTGGTGAAGTCCAGGAAATCGTCGGCGTGGGTTTGCAGGTTCATCTCACTTTTTTTTTTTTTTCAATTTCACACATGAAATAATAAATGAATAGTACAGAGCACAGAACATGACATCTTTGAACTAGCAACACCAAGAATCGAGCAGAACTGCTCCCGAAAGGCGTCTCCTAATCTTGGAAGAAGAGGGATACAAAATATTACAGCAGGACACTTATGACTGCTTACGTGTAGGAACGCGAAAGCATTCGTACTCGCAGCGCATTACTACAAGCAGAGCGTCCCCCTATCCTCCGCACTGGCTGGCCTGGCTTCTGCGGTCGCCATTACGCCAGCCTCTGCAGCCGCGCGCGAACCACCCTCTCCCTTTTACTGGCGTGCGGGCCGCAGCGCCAGGAAGAGGGCTTTTCTCTGGAGTGGCGTTTCCTCGAACTATGACGCGTAGCAATAATTTTATTTGCCGCTTGGGAGAGAATTTGCGAGCCGTTTCTCCTGGTTACAGAAAACGCCGGCTGCGCTCCATGGGACGGTTAATGCTCTCGCATGAAAAGTTTGATATAAAAGAAAATATCAAACGCACGAAGAGATAAAAATAAAATAAATTAAATTTGTGTTTGAAAATTATGTTAAAAACTTGAAAACACAGTATCACAGTTGAGGTTTAAAGATTTCAAATTCCGTTTTCGTCATTGACAGTGAAGGAGCAGATATATTGTCGCGCACCGCACCCATAAAAATGACTCGGGGATTTCCCTCCCACATCTGCTCTTATGGCCCACTAGAATTGTGGTATCGCGAAAGCAAGGTGTGCAGTCATTACGCTTCCGGCCATGAAAAACGATGGGGTGCAATAACTCATCGAAAGCCTTTGAAGCCTGCAGGTTATGTCCCCTGAGTCGGTGATTGACACATACGCCTGTTTGACCGATGCACTGAATCCCGCTGTTCACGGAGATCGAATAAACCTTCTTGACCTCACGCTTAACGAACTTGATGGCGTGTGCGACACTGCACCCGTTGTGCAACATGTCACACACACCAAGAGGTTTGTTAAGCGTGAGGACAAGAATGTTTACTCGATATCGCAGAGCTTCGGGAGTCTGTACATTGGTCGAACAGGCCGATGTGTCAACCACCAAACTCAGGGAACATAACCTGGAGGCTTCAAAGGCCTCCTATGAGTCAATTCACCCGAGTTGCTCATGGTCGCATGCGGTTTGACTGCACACCTTGCTTTCGCGTAACAATAATTTTAGGGATCCAAAAGAGCAGATTTGGGAGAGAGATCATCGAGTCATTTATTATGGGTGCGGTGAGCAACAACATTTTCGCTCTTTCCCTCTTACTGACGAAGACAGAAGTTGAATTTTTGAAACCTCAACTTCAACACAGAATCACCGACGTGATTCTGTGTTTTAAGCTTTTAGTCTAATTTTCAAACACGAAGTTCATGAATTTTAGTTTTATATTTTTTTCCATCTGAAATTTTTCTCTCCTTCAACATGTTTTATCCCTCTCCTTCCAAGATGGGCAGACGCCTTTGGGGGTCGTTCCGTTTCGTTCTTGCTGTTGCTAGTCGAGTGATGTCGTGTTTCGTGCTCCGTCTTATTTGTTTATTCTTTCCTGTGTAAAATTGAACCTTATCAACACGCTTGGTTTTTAATTATATGCTTTCGCTGCAAAACATGCCATGCTTGTTTACAAAGTACTCCAGCCCCTTTAGTGTGCAAACAGCCCGAAACAGATGTCTAAATTTTGGCTTTGCACTGTAGATTGAACTGAATTTTAGATTGTAAAACAGGGCTGGCCAAACAGAAGTTTTGAAATATCACCTCGGGGTCGCCGAGAAACCTCCAACCGCGTCTCGGTGTGCCTGAACGGGGTCGCTCGCGAACCGCGTCCGCAACCGCTTCGCAAGCGCAGCTCAATCGCCAGTGTGAATGCACCATTAGACGGCAAAGAGCGGAAAACGCCCCAAGAACAGCATCCCGGGAGTCGGACCAGTGGGTCACAGTGCTTCCCCTTCAGAATATATTGAGGTTTTTGCGCTCTTTGTTCCTCCGTTTTGTGCGTGCTCTCAGGCAGTCAAAACTGGTTCACATAAATGTTATGAATTTTGATGCGATGCACCAAATGTATTTTGCATTTCAGCTACCTCCTGGTATACATCGAAACGAAGCAGGACGGTTGGCATGGCTATGCGTACGCCTCGGCATACGCCTTCTCTCAGCTTGTCGGCGGATTCTTGAATGCGCACGCTACTTACATCATGGCGCTTGGAGCCTTCAAAGTTCAGTCCGCACTCACATGCGCCCTGTACAAAAAGGTAATTCTACTAAACTACTCTTTTATTCCGAAATAAAACAAAATAACCTCAAGTAGCATAGCAGTTTTCACCCAACGTTAGGGCAACATCGTATTGATTGGATTCCAATATTCGACCGAATATTTGGGCGCAACCCGTTCCAACGTTGGGTCAGCGAAAATGGCCATATTTGGCCGATGATGATATCTGTTGCTTGCACTGTTATGCGAATACTGAGTTGATCGTATGTGAATATTATACCCAACACTCTAAAAATGTCTGTGCGTCTACTTTCAAGCACAACACTCGGAAATCCAATCACCGCAACTTACGTAGGCAGCTCAGCGAATGACGATGCCGAAACATCTGTTTAGACCAAAAAACGCAGACTGAGTTTTGACATAAAGCAATGCAAAACGTCACGCTTGCATTACTTAATGTCCCAACTCAGACTGCGTCTTTTTGGTCTAAACATATGTTTCGGCATCGTCATTCGCTCAGCTGCCTCCGTACGTAGCGCTGATTGGCTCGCCGAGTGTTGTGCATGAAAGTAGAAACACAGAATATTGGAGCGCAACTCGCTCCAACATTGTACACATTAAAATTTTGATATTAGGTCAATGATGATTTAAGGATGCTTCCACCATTATGCCAATAATAGCATTCTATGTTGTCCATTCAAATACAAATATCTGTAACCAATATTACGCATGATTTCTAGTAACAGTTCCCAATTATACTCGAGAATTTCCGGCATTGGTATATAAGGATACCAATACGCCTGGATTTCCAGTATTGGTATCGACTGGTATTTTTTTCATAGTATTGGTATTCAATATTATGCCGGGATTCTCCACCTTGGTACCACAATAATATGCAATAATTTATTATATTAGTATCCAATCATACGCCGTTCTATTCCAATATTGTTAACCAATTATATTCCTGATTTTCCAAAATTCCAATTCAAACATGGGTCAATTTTTTCTAATATAGTTATCCAGTTACTCATCATGATTCCCAATAATGGCAACCAATGATAGACCATGTTTCCTACTTCTTTGTATTATTAGTCCAGGGTTCTAATTATCTTAACCAAAGTTAACTAGAGCTCTGACAATGGGGTTCACCTTTTCTGGAGGACTTGTACAACTGCTTGGCAAAAACTTCCTTTATCCAAAGCTGATATAAACAATGCTGTACATGAGTCATGTCACGTGCATTTGGTTTATTCCAATTAGTGCCAGATAGTAAGTGAAATTATTATTTTGTATTACCCTAAAATACAAGGAGCACACCAAACATTTTGAATATTTCTTGATTATTATATTAGTGATCTTCCCCTGTAGCAGAACTAATGAATGTCGCCACGTTTTGTCAACTCGAAATGAGCCGTATGATATGGACAGAAATGTAATGTTCCTTTGTAGTAACAACCTCCAGCGTGGCTAAAAGTTTAAATTAATTTGTGGAAACATTCCAGCCTTGGAAATTGTTTACATTAACTGAAGAGCGTGTTGACAACTATTTATTTATTTATGTATTTACGTATTTACCCTCAGGATCAAAAGGCATTACGGAGGGGAGTGGTAAACACATAAACAGACTAAAGGGCAAAAAATACACTTATGGTAAATCAGAAAACAACAAAAAAGAGAGATCATTTTTTAAATCAATTGGGTCAGGTAAGGTTGCCATTTGGGGAGGTGAGTGGTTTCATTCCACAGAAGTGTGAGGGATGAACAAATAGAAAAAAAATGGATTTGTGATTCAAGGCAGGACCCCGATCTTATGTTGATCATCTAATTGACAGGAAATATGACAGGGATGTTGGTAACTCTTCACGCAGGGCAGAATAATAGCAAATTTTATGAAAAAAAAAAACAAGCGAGAAATTTGTTTGCATGAAGCAAGATAATAGGCAAAGATAATGATAGCTTCATAGTGGTTATATTATAAGTGCGATGATAGTTAGAAAGAATAAAACGTGCAGATTTGTTTTAAATGAATTCAAATGGTTGAATGAGGTACTCCATGCTGGTATCGCAGACGGAGGTCGCGTGTTCAAGCTTCGATCGAACCAGGCATTTATAGAAACGGAGCTCAAGGCATGAGGGAACCGAACGAAAAGTTTTCCTTAGAAAGCCAAGCACCTGTTTAGCATTGTTAATTTCGAGGACTATATGAATGTTTCATGACAGGTTAGACATTATATGAAGACAAAGGTATTTCTATATTTGCATGGATTCCAATTGCATGATGTTAACGTAGTAAATAGGCGAAAGTGTGCTACGACGGGATGCGCGCATGAATTTGCACCTGGTGATGTTTAGTTCCATTAGCCATGCGCGGCACAAGTTAGCTATTGAGATTATATCAGACTTCAAAAAGCTGATGTCATTATCGGTTATTATTTATTGGTAAACTACACAATCACCGGCAAATAAAAAAACAGAAAAGAAGATGTAGACTGACAGATCGTTCATATATACGAGGAAGAGTGATGGGCCTAGAACTTAACCTTGCGCAACACGTGAGTTGACGGGGGTTACAGAAAAATTAGAGCCATTGACTGCTACAAATTGTGAGCGATGATGGAAAATACACTCAATCCTAATAAGTACGTTCCATTCGATATTACGTTTACTTATTTTGAAAGCAATGATTGATAACTTTAGACAAAATCAAGGAATACGCAGTCCGCCAGTGACCCACGGTCCAGAAGGGTATGCAGATTATGATTGGAAGAAGAAAGTTCCGTTTTGTAAGAAAATAAGTTTAAAAAACCGTGATGACATGGATTAAAAAAAGACGTTTGAATCAAGGAAATTGACAAGATTCGAGTAAACAATATGCTCTAATATTTTGCAGGGAACGCTCGTTAGCGATATTGGACGGAAGTAATTAGTCGAATGCTTTGGCATGCACTTATGTTTACGGTCCATTCTCCCCTCTTTCCAGTCATCAGGTAAACTTGAAGCATCTAAATACTGCTAAAAACGTTTCGCCAGAATCCTGAAGTACATTTAGCGCTTTTAAGTTATTTAGAATTAATTTTGTTAACACCCACAGAAGAAAACAACTTAAGAAAGTCAATTAGTTTAACTATACCTGCAGAATCGAATATTGCTGTGAACATTGGGAGAAAGCTTACTTAATTTCAGGATTAGGAGGTTTTCCAACAGCAGAAAAGTCATTAAAAACGTGTTGTTTAAAAAACTAGCACACACATTGTTACCCTTACTAAAGTCGCATATCTGGACTTATATAAAAAATATGGTTATATAAAAAATTGGGCATATCTGGCCATACAAAGCACATCAGTTTATATGAGGCATATCTGACCAGAGTTGCCCAATTTTTTATATATCGATATCTGAGTTTGCCAAACAGAGGCATACTGCCTCACATATAAGGCCAGATATGTCCCATTAAATAAGGCAACCTTTATATATATTGTTGTTTTCTACGAATATCTACCAAAAGTGACTTCTCATCTGTATATAAAAAATACCGATTGGATATGGAGCATGTACCAACTTTTATTAATTTTTACATGAGCTGCGCTTTACGCAGCTCCTGATTTCGCTCAACATAATTCCCAGGGAAAGCATTAACGTTTCATCGACATTCGCTTAACGAATGTTGATGAAACGTTAATGGCGACGAAACGTTTGTCCATTAAACGGGTATCCACGAGAAGGTGGCCGTGGAACGTGTTATTACGAAATGCTAGGAAAAAAAAAGTATTATACCTGTAGTTGTAACATGATTTCAGACGGTCAATAACAGGATACTGCTGGCAGAATTTTGGAGAAATTAATCTCCCGGCTACCAGAGGATAGACACGGCCTAATTCTAGAGGTATAATGGAAGAGTACCTGTAGAAAAACGATCAATTGTCGCGAAGTAGATTGCAGCGCACTTACGTTGACGATACTGGACTTGAAAGCAGTAATCTGAGATATATGTTGACACGGGCATTACAACCACTCAAGCACAAAAATGAGAAAAAAGGTGTTCATGAAGTTTTAACACGATGTAGCACAAGCTGTCATTTGTAGAACCGAACACTAAACGCATCACAAAACATTCTTGGGCTTCTTCGAAGAAATCGCTTGTTGCCAATATACGGGTAATACTTTTCGAATTTACTGCAGAAGCAGAATCCGCAGCAGCCACACAGGGCGCAACACACGCCAAACTAGGTCCGGCAGAACGCATTCCAAGATCGCCAACGGTTAATGTGTCATCCGTCACACCACGCGACCACGCTTCCGACATTTCCCGCGCGCAGAGAGCGGAGTCAAGCGATAAAAAGCCTACGGCTGATTGGTTCGGCAAGGGTTCACGTTCTACCAGAGAGAAAAGGAGAGAGGGAAAGGCCAAAACGGGAGTGCACACACAAAAGGCTTATCTTCTGGGCATCCCAACCAGGACCTGGCCCTGATCCCAACAATGACCACAACGAGAGGATTTGTCACTTGTACCCATGGTTGATAGTGCAGTAAATGCTATGTGTGGGCCTTGGGCTTGAGGCAGGTGCCATGTTCTGCCTTATGACCAGCTTCTAGAGTGTAAGTACCTGACCCTAACCGGAGACACGATTGGCCTAAAACAAGCATAGCGTCTACCCTGCTGTCAATACCGAGTGAACAGGACAGCTCTATGAAGTCCAGCTTTTGAACTTCCAAAGCTGTCCAGCCCAAAATGTAATTTTAAATGAAAACTTAAGCGCGACTAGCTTATGCGCACAATGTTCACAAATATATATATATATATTTACCAATACATTTAAAATTATGTGTACACTGTTAGGTTCGTGTTTTTAAACTTCTGTCTTTTTACAAAAGAGTTACACGTAAAAGACACCACGGACAGCATATCTTCCGACTTTCAACACGCGATGAATCGCCGACGCACGCAAACGAAAGGTTGCGATGCTGCGCGAACGGTTTTTGAAAGATGCTGCGTAGGGTACTCCGGGCACAATGGCTTCGCAGCCGTTCGAAGGGAAAATG